AAAAGAGAATTTTCGTGGCGAACGTAACGCTACGATTTCCTCGATTTTTTTTTTTTTTTTTGCGATCAATTTTATCCCGAGTATACGTTTCCCGAGTCATTTGTTTTCATCAATATCGTTTCGCTCTACGATATTTTTACTTTCTCCCTCTTTCTCTTCTTTTTTCAATATTTTTCAATTAATCGACGTCGGATAAGTTTGATGGAATATATTTACATTGCTCGTTGTACGAATATTACGGTACGAGCAGATATATATATATATATATATTTTTTTATTTAGATGTGTTTGGCCATGGTTGCTCGGATCCTAAACATGGTTTGAATTAATGCGTCGTTGTAAAATGAGAAACGTTCTCATTATAATTATAATTTCACGCGATGAAAATGAAAATATTCATCGGATAGGGAAGTTGCGTTATTTTAAATCATTTGCGAAGAATATTATTATTATTTTAATAATTTTTTAATAATTATTTTTTAATAATTATTTTTTAATAATTACGGTATAAAAAATGTAGGTGTAAAAATTCGATCAATTTTGAGAATGAAAACTTCGTGAAAACCTCACTTGAGAAATTGATTAAAAATTTCAAAGGAGCAAACGTCGAACGAAAGTCTCGATTGATCTTTCACATTCTATATAAGGCGCATAATATCCAAGGATCAGAGATTCTTGACTTTCACGGACAAAAGCGACGAAACCCATCCATGTTCCTGTTATTGAAATGCAATGACCATCCCCGTCGAATCGATGGGAAGTATTGATGCACATACGTGCATATGTGCTCCACATACATATTCAGGGTAACCGCGGTGCTCTTACAACGCGTGGAACCTAGTTTCCGGTTGACCAGTGTCTCTCAAACGACCGCTCGTAAATCTTAATAGAATACCAGGATGCGCTTCCTCTTCGCTCTCCGTTCTATTATTACGCTACTCTTCTCTCTTCCTCTCTTTCCCTCTCCCTCTCTCTTTGAATGTCCGTTCAACGATTCAAGTTCATCAAGTATGAATGCAAATATACGTTGAAGGCGAAAAATTGCTCCAAAAAATTGTTGAATATTTTTTTGTGGACAACGTTATGAGAGCGAATCTCTGACAATGACTTTCATTTTCGATGTCAGAAAAAAAATTTTCGATCGAATGCATTTTCGAGAGCAAAACTCTGGAAAATTACTTTCGAGAGTACTTTTTATTTTTTTTTTTTTTTTTAAGTGAACAATATTACATCTGACAGTGATTTTCACTCGCAATGCCCGAAAAATAATTTTCCTGTAGGTGCAAATATGTTCGAGAGCAAAACTCTCAAAAAATTACTCTCGAAAATATTTTTATTTTTATTTATTTATTTTTTTTTTTTTTCGCAAATGGACAATGCTACTACGAGAGTATCCGAATCTCGCTCTCGATGCAATAAAACTGGCAGAAAATTTTCAAAATTTTTGGATTCGCACCTTGTCGCGAGACGACGTGCGCTTTTTTTATTTTTTGCATCTTTCCTCTTTTTCCAATTGTAATAAGACAAAAAACTGTCAGAAATTTAACTAATTTTATTTGATAAGAGAAAGATAGCGGAGAACGATAGTGAAAAGGAAATTTAACCTGGTCGAAAATTTAATTTCGAGTCAAATGGTGGGCGCGTAGAGGCTCGTTCGATTGCTCGTTCGAGAATTCGTAACGAGAGAGCCAGGGGGCGAAAATATTTAACCGGATTTTACCGGGTTTGATCGGCGAACGACCTGTTGTCGCGCGGTATAACTGAAGAGAGAGGAAGAGAGAGAAAGAGAGAGAGCGGCCGCAAACGCGGTGAATCCATTTGCAAAGGAATCAGAATTTCATGGTGGCTCGGAATTTAATCAAAATGTAACGCCGCGGGTAAACTTTCGACCGGATGACAGCCGTTGACGAACCGGCGATTTCTCCTGAAAACGCACGATTCCGCCGCGGAATTTCACCGCGAAATTCTTCTTTCGCCCGTTTCTTTCAAAGAAATGAAGATGGAACACCGTCATCCTTCCCTCCCTCCCTCTTTTTCGCACTCTCGATTCCTCGATTCGATCGCACCACCATTGCAAAAATTGCAAAAATTCTCCTCTGAAATAGAGATTAATAGAGCGGCTCCTACAGATTGCTATCTACCAGCTAAATCTTCTAATCTTCGTTAAAAATTGCCTGTATTATTCCCGTATATGTATTTCGTATCGTTAATTCGGCTATATCGTAAATGGCCAATGATGTTCGCTCTTCGTTTCCTCGCAAAAATCGTAAAAAGAAAGAATATATTTCCGTTTTCCGAGGACAGGATAAATCTGGTCGAGGGGATCTCGATCGAGGTTTAAGCGAGCACGGAATGGATTGGAAAGGGCGGTACGCCTATCCTAACGGCTCGCCGGCCAATTTCTCCTTTACTTTATTCGCGAGCGCGCCGTATAAAGTCATTCTCGGACCCTGAGCGGAGAAGAGGAAAGGAATCGATCGCTGATCAAACGGTAATGCAATTCAATTGGCACGACCGAAGAAAGAAGGGAGACGGAAGGGTTCTTTGCGTTCCCTCGTACGTGTGCCACGTATCCGTAATGGCCGAGGAAAGGGAGAGAAGGTGCGTGAGGGTATACGAGTGGGAACACTTAAAGGGGGAAGAAGCGGCGCGCACACGAGTACACCGATAAAAGTGACACGGATAGGGATGGTGGTGACGGTGGTGTTGGCAGAAACGGTGATAGCGGTCTCGCACACGACGCAAAAGAACGATGAAGACTCTGTGTATATAGGGTACTCCAACCCCCTCCCCCCGAGTAAGTTGCCGCCTTTGTTCCGACTTCGATTACAAATGTAGAGAATAGCTTTCTCTCTTCTTTTCCTCTCTCTTTCCTCTTTTCTTCTTTTTTAAGAGATCGTTCGCCTCGCCACTCCCCCTCTTGCGCCACAACCTCTATTACCTTTCGATCTAACATGAGGAGGAGGGGGGACATCGCGAGGTCGAAGAATCGGCCGATCACACAGGGAAGGCCGAATACGAAGCTCTTTGCTCCTACCATCTAACCGCGTTCAACGCGGGAGCGTTTCGTAAAAGACACTCGAACGGTCGGTGACAATCGATAATAGCCGTACGAGTGACTCTTCTCGATTGTCGAGGGAAAGTGGATACTCTTCTACTTCTAGCGGGGGAGGATTTCGTCCGTCTGAAACTCGAGAAAGAATTCCTCTTTCTTTCGCGGGTCACAAACCCTTCTTGAATGTTTCGAGTCCCTCTTTGACGAATAAACTTAATGCTTACTTAGATTGGATATTATTCGAGGTATAACGAAATATCATAAATAAATAGACGATGCAGTCTCTCTCTATAGAATCGCGCTACGGATGGAGTGTTCATAAAATATAATTAACAGAAGAGAGTGGAATAGTCCGTATTCGAATTGGAAGCTCGGCGGTTTGAGGTTGGCTCATCTGTCGTTACCTATCGCCGCTTGTCGCGAAATCCAATTACAACCGAGTCAAACATGCTGGTATCCGCAGATAGACGCTTCCACTTAATATAATTCACACAGAGGATCCGACGAGGTGAGCATTGCTTATTGCATTAACGTTGTTCTGACCCGGGACTTGTGACCGTGGATCACACCGTCGCCATCGTGGCCGCTCTCTCGTGGCCCTTGTTGTCGCCGTTTCCCTACTCCGTGAGGGAGCGTGGTGCGGCCAATAACAAGTGATCGATAAAGCGCGGCTAATTACCTAGATTCTCCCTCCAAATTGAGGCTTTGTTCCATCGTCGAAATTAATTGACTCCATTCACTCGATAACTCGGTGGATACTCGAATACCGTTCGGTTGCTCGTTTGTCCCGGCGAGAATTATGGCTCTCGTCTTTGAAACGGCGAAAGGCGCAGTCGTCGATTGCCGTCCAAGTGGAACCGCCGTTAGAGACGATATTTCGCATGGTATATTTCTCCGCGAAGGACGAATTCCAAATTTACACCAATTCACGATGAAGAGAGAGAGAGAGAAAGAGAAAGAATACACTTGTATTTTGTGTTATATTCGCTCGTTATTTTACAATATTTTCCCAATTTCGTTTCCATCAACGGATTAAACTTCTGGAATCGAAGAATGATTCACTTATATAATTATATAATTATATAATATATAATTCTAACCTCACTTCGAATCACTTAACGTTTCGACGGACAAGTCGAAATACAATTAACCACGGATCGTTGGAGAGAGTAGAGTTAAATAGAAAAGCATAGAGGCACGCGTCGTGCTTCTATTACGAATCTATTCGCGTGCGCACGCATGCGTGCGATACATAGTACACGCGCCGGTATCCAGCAGCGCGTGCATTCTTCCACGACCGCGAACCTACCTTATCCTACCGCTACGTAAACTATCGAACGATGATCGTTCAACGATCCGACCGCTGGTAAACTTTACGGTACGGCGTTACGTTACGATTGTGGCGTTGTATTGCGCGTGTAGCCCCGTGCAGGAAACGTAGCTCATCTACACGTATACAGTGCGAATGCAGGCAGC